AAGTTACAATTATCAGTCAGGCTCTAGATGTTTTTGAGCAAACATCGAAAAATATTACAAAAAACCAATTAATTTTAGAATCACGTATCCTGCAATTTGAGAAATCTCTGATGGCTCTTCAGACAAAAGATTTACACTTAGAAAACGAACTTTTTATACAAATTGTAATTTCACAAATATTAACTTCATTTCGATATATCCACGATGTTTTAGAAAAATTAGAGGTTGCAATATCTTTTGCAAAACTTAATACATTCCATAATTCTATATTGAAACCTCAAGACCTTCTAGTAGAAATAAAGCTTATCTCAGAACATTTACATGATGTCAAACTACCATTTGAACCTGCTTTAGAAAACATATTGCTTTTTGAGAAAATATTAGAAATCAAAAGTTATAGTAAAGGCAATCAAGTTATTTTCATTCTGGAAATTCCTTTAGTAGAGGTCGATAGATATAATTATTATCACTTATACCCATTACCTACGACGACATCCAATCAATTTAAAGTCATATTTCCTTACTCAAACTACCTAATCCTAAATATATATATTATAGCCTTTTTGACAAAAACTGCAAAGAAATTCAGCCTGAACAATATGTTTGCCACGAGAAGAACCCAGTAAAGCTAAGCAAAGGAAATCCATGTGAAGTTCAAATGTTACTATATGAAAAGAATATTACTAACTGTTTTCAAATGCCGATACAAGTACAACAAGAAAAAGTCAAAAAGCTAGATGCAGAAAACTGGATGTTAGTTATTCCCAACAGAAAAATTGTCACATATAGGTGTGGTGAAAACCAAGACAAAATTCCACTTCAAGGAACATATCTACTAGCAAATTGCCAAAATTGCGAAGTCTATATGGGTTCAACTGTTATAAAAAGTCGCCGGAACCCAAAATCACAGTATATTGCACTACCAAAGCTAGTTTTTGAGGGATTCAAGAAAACGCAGACTGCCCATTTGGAACCTCTTCAACTAGAATCCATTAACTTCGAAGAAACGAACAACATTAGAACTGCCCTGGATTTGAACAAGCACAGACTCCAAGAAATCCCCGATAATCCAATTATTGATCTTCAATCAGTAAGCATCTGGACCATCTTACTGTATTCCCTAATTGCCATCATCTGTGGCTACCTCACTGTTAAATCCTACTTTAAAAGAAAACAAGCCGAAAAGAAGAAAGAAAATAGAAAAACCGAAATTATTGTTTGAAGCTAAGAACGATAAAGATAGAAGATAAGTTATAGAAGATAAACGTTAAGGAGAAAGAAGATAGAAATTATCCAAGAAGAACGAAAACTTTCAAACTTTACCGTTGGTTCAGTTTCTACGGCGGGAGGAGTTACAGACACCAGATATGCATAATTGTAGAATTGCATTTCACATGGCTTGCACTTTTTACAGAGTTTATAAATATACCGTAATTTGCATTGTATTCAGCTCTAGCTATTTCTCGGTCGGTTTCACATCAATTTTGTACGTTTTGAAAATAAAAGTTTTTTAAAAACTTATTTCGGAGTCGTACTTCCGTAAGTCGCGTTGTTCCCGTTTGTTGTCGGTTTTTTTCCCGCGACAAAGGGTTCGCAAGGGGCGAACATGTCGCGAACTTGACTAGGCCCCTCATTCGCTGGTTGCTCAGTTGCGTCATAGCGAGTGCCGGGAGTGGTTGTGTTTTTTCCACTTCTTTTCAATTGTTTTAGTTTTAATAATATATGCGTAGTTGTAAATTGCCAAAGCGCAAAGTAGCTCTGCAGCAGTAGTAGCAGTTTCACCGTCCATACTAGTCAAGAACGCGAACTATACTGTGAAGCAGGCGCGAACATTATGAGACTGTGGAACTGTTGGAAGAGTTTTCGGGATTCGCACCGAGATCGGCGGCGCGATTTCACGCCGTAGTCCGCGCGAGAGTCTGGAGAGATTTCTCTTACATAAATATTTGATACCTGTATCACTAGAATGTAAGGTGAGAAAATTTTCTAAGAAAATAATTTTTTCAAATACCTACGTATTTTCAGTTTTTTAAGCTTAGAATGGGATCCGTGGTTTGTCGATTGTGCTATTTCGCATTCTGTCGCTAAGAGCTGCAATTCCGCAAATCGGGGTCCGCACCTCCTAGGAAAGGAAAGTTTTATCATCGCGAAACAATTCGATTTCGTCGATTGGTGAGAAAGTATCTACTGTTATGACGAAAAAAATTTAAAATTACATATTCATATTTGTCGCTTGCCTATTCGGACCTCAGTCTAGACGATCTGGAATTTCGATAATAGATAACTTATTGTGTAAATGGGCTGCTATCAAGGCTTGGCATTAACAATGGTAGATGCCTCGAGATCCCCGTTTGAAGTGCGCCCCGGTACATTGCGTCAAGGACCCTAGCTCAACGAAAGTTTGTGTTATCAGAGTCATATAATCTTAGGGTAAACATTCTAGTGCATACCAAAGGCAAAAAACTACACATTTCAATGTTCTTAAACTATGTTCTGTATTTCACCATCAAGTAAGTGTTACAATCATCTCACAAATAAAACAATGTGTTTTGCATCAAAACTATAAATAAAACTATATTTCCAGACGCTTTTCTCACTAACTACTTCAAAACAAAAAACTATGCCAATACTTGCATGAAATGAGTGTGGTGTAGTAGACTCCAATTTTGTTGTGAATGTTTTTATTATGATTACGATCCGAAGTTGTATAAAGAAGTATAATGTATTGTTAATTGACTATTCCAAAATACCAGGTACATTATTTTTATATCGTTCACGAAGCTTGTGAGGCTTACAATAATAAAATGTATAAGAATTAATATGCAGCCTCAATGAATCCAGATCACATTAAAACATAGTGGATACGTCACACAAGACATCAAAAAGCGGGTAATTTTAAACTAATTCACCTCGCACTGACGGGTAGCAGTAGGAGTGGTGGTGGGAAAGGGAAACGTGGTAACTTCGTCACCTTTGGCGCTTTTTGCAGACCCCGTTGTACTAACACTATACTACCCCGCGTGCCATCTACGGGTAACTGATTATAGAATCAATACAACATCTATGGCTTGAAATTAACTTTGGAGATGGTCAATCGAATCCATGAGGCTTCGAGTCAATGAATTAGCGGCTCGACGCGCTAACCACTCGGTTACTTAAGCCTCCTACCTCAAACTGGCATTCTTCCTTAATTGATTTCTCATGCACTAAGTCGCATATATGCTATAGGTTCCAGAATGATAGCAGAACGAAAACTGAGACACAGAACTATAATTATTTTTCAGATAGTCAAGCCGCACTAAAAGCACTTGACTCCACCTACTCGACATCGAAATTAGTGTGGAATCGCAAAGAAGCTGTCTGTGGCATAGGGGAGGGAAACGAAATCCGTCTCACATGGAACCAGGAAACGTAGGTCCAGAGGGAAACGACCGAGACAGCTGGCACTCTGGCAAAGAGTGGGGCTAGCACACCCGTCATAAGGCCCGGCCAGCGATTGGGATCGCATACAGTACGGCTAAACAAATAATTCCAGCAGAGATGGACAGAAAGGTCCATCGATACTGGGAGGGATTAGCAGTGTTAACCCACGCTAAGGCAACTATACCAATCTTGACAAAGAAGGTAACAGACTCTTTGCTACGGCTGAAGAGGAATATCCTCAAAGCTCTAGTAGGACTCTACTCTGGTTATTGCAAATTGTGCCACCACATGAGCAGGCTGGGCATGGTGGAAGACGCTTAGCGCAGACTGTGCATGGAGGGAGATGAAACGGTCATGTATTTTGCAGATGCCCTGCATTTGCCAGAATCAGGTACAACATACTTGGAGACGTAGTACTCCAAGCAGAAGACCTGAAGGATATTTCTCCAAACAAGTTGATCGACTTCCTTAGGAGTTCTGAGCTACTGGGTGAAATATAAATAGGTGTGAGCCACAATGGACCAAAGAGTCGCAGTGGAGGATCGTTATTGATGCACTCATAAGAAACCTAACCTAACCTACCTTATAGCATAGAGTTGAAACATTTTTGGGGGATTCAAACATTTTTAAATTGGACATTCAGCATGTTCCATTTTAATATTTATATAAATTATATAATGTGGACCTCCTGGCGTTATGCAATAATAGCGGCTACGCCACTATGGAGTCAGCGATATGGTTTTCTTTCATCCGTTCCCAAGTTTACAAAATATTCCGTTTGAGTCAGGCAAAACCACAACTTTGGAACAGATTGAAATGAAAGCAATACATTGTCACTTCGTGAGTTATTAGACAGAAAGGTCGTCCTTAACCCCAGTGTGCTAAGATTGGGTGATACGTAATATAGCTGTTAATGGAATCTGGTGAGACTATTAAGCAGGATAAGGAACCAGATCTAGGTTTCTATAGTTATTTGAAGTATTTGCTGTCTCTGTAGTCCCTGCTTCAAGTAAGGGAGGAGACGATTACGTTTAGATGTATAGAAGGATTGTTCATTAACAATCCGTTTCTTCGGTTTCCGAAGAGAGTCTGGTTATAATTTTATTAAACCATTTATGTTAAGCCACTGGATCTTCCAGATATATGTATATTCAAGGTCAGAACAGCTAGCATGCTATCTACTAGTAGTATCATCTTTAGGGTTTTTGATTTCTTATTTATCCACCATAAACCGTTTTTAGTGAAACTAACTTTACCTTAGATGGCGCAAAAAAGGTCTACTAACAAAAGTGTCAGATTTTTAATAGCTAGTAGTTGACGTCTCGGAAGACATTGTCTAATCGCCGACTTAGGTTTGATTGGACCCTGTGATACACATACTTGATGTTAGGTCAGGGAAATTGTTATTGTACATATAGGTGTTAAGAGATTATTTTTTTACTTTTATATTATAATCTGCACGGCCTGTGTAGGCGCTCAGTGTCCCAGCACATCGCCGTCACAGCCCGGGCTTTCAGGTATGTAGTATCATGGATTGTAATCAAAACAAAAGCCTCCAATATGCACAATAACAGTATTAACAGTCACTAGTACGAATCATGAGCCCAGCTGAAGCAATAGTCATTCTAGAAATATTATCAGTTGCATGTAAACATTTCTCTTCAAACGTTCACGTAAATTTCATTTTTCGAGTTTCTGATCAGTTTAGGGGTTAGTAAATGTTTTTGATGAAAACTCAAATATGTTGGAATCATGTTCCACTTATAGATAGATTTTTACGAGTGCACGGAAAGTACTGAGTCTATCTACTTGATTCTATTTTTAAGTCTCCTAATATGTACGCATCATGAATCCGGCATCAGTATCCTAATCATTGACTTATCTATAGCTCAAAAAGTAATGCTAAATGCTAGCATTTTGAGAATCGGCTCATTTAGAGGAGAGTAATGGGGAAATCAATAACAACAATTGGCGCCTCTCTTGGGGAAAGTATCACTTGAAGTGTGGCGAAAATTAGACAAAAAGTTACAACCATGAAATAGACAAAAGGCATTGCTTTTTTTTGAAATTATATAATATTATCATGAAAGTGCGGGATACCTTGTGAAAGTGATCAATCCCACGTGCCACTCTCAGTGTAAAATCAACGTATAGACATGAGTTAACTGCTAGGCAAATTGAAAAATGCTCGACTTTCGAGTAAATACGTGATAATACCTTTTTGGTTCAGATCGTAAAAACATCATAATGGAAAATGAATCTAAACAACTTGACTGATTTTAATTAAAAGACCAATTTAGTGATATAAAAATTTGCTCAGTCTTAATCGAAGAGTAATAAATCTCGATTCATTCTCTAGGAAGTTTTTAGGTGAGAGTTAAAAATCATACCGAAAAATGTTTTAAATGACCTGATCGATTTTTATTGCAGGACCAATGCAACAAGTCATATGATACCCCACTTAGACATATCGTACGATATTTCAGGCTGATAAAAAAGATGATATAAATCAAAAGCCTGAACAATTTGATGCAAATAGATATTTGTGATATAACCTCAAAATAGAGCGCTGACACGGAACAGTAGATAACTATGAAAATCAAGAAGAACATAAAGGCCTCTACAATTATTGTAGGAACGACACGGCCCTTAAGTATTTCAAAAAACAAGAATTTCCTAGATACGCCTTGAAATTATCAGACAGTCATTTGTTACGCATACCAGATTTATCCTATAATCTCTATTATGTTTTCCTGACTTTATTTCATATGGGATTTCAAAATAAATTGCATGTTGTCAATGCTCTTTATTCTCCTCTACAAGATGGCGTAGTCAAGTTTTCAATTCGACATTTCTTCTATCGACTTCCACCACATAGTTGGCCATGAGTTTGTTACTCGATGAATGTTATAAGGAAATAAAAGGTATGGTGAAAACTGATGACAAAATCAAAATTTCATTGATAGTAATAGCAATAATAATTATAAATCAGCAGAGGTAAATAATAGCAGATGTTCACAATGTTGTACGTTATTGTGTAGGCAAGGCCTAAATCTTCTCTGTAAACTTTTTACTGCTAGATTTGTTTCTCTTCTTCTCAATCTTCCAAACTCTGTTGCTATGTTCAATTTGAGGTCTGGTATGGTATACGAAATAAATGAAATCTAATAATTTCAAGACCTACCTAGGAATAACTAAGGTTTGGCAATGTTAAACTATGACGTACTATAAATTTGTGAAATCAGAATCAAAAACATCAACTGCGCAAAAATCCAATATGACGTCCATAAGAAAAAATGAAGTTCATGCTGAAGGACCACTGAGAAAACGTTATATTGGAATTGGAATGTTGTAGAGGAGAAAAATTGGCAATGTTAACATTTAATTCAGAATCCCATCTCCAACTAAGTCGAGAAAGAACAAAAATGAAATCTGGTAGGCGAAACAAATGATAATTTCAAGGCCTCCTAGCAAAGTATACTTTTTTTGAAATAAGGTTTGCCAATATCAATGTATTATATATTATGCATTTTTGGAATCAGAATTGAAAACTCTATTCATCTGTACAAAAATTCAATATGCTGTCTATAAGAAAAAATAAAGTTGACCCTGGAGGACAAGAGTTGGAACGTCATATTGAAATTTCAAGCGTGTAGAGAAGAAACGGAGACAATGTTAGTGTAGAATTTATTTTGAAATTCCACTACACTCAATCTCAAACGATTTTGGGAAAATTCAGTTTTTGTCCGTCTCTCTCCGGAAGTACACATACTTCGGATTTCAAGACTTTATAAGCGACATTTTGGGTGTTTGTCCAGACGCTACGTTTTGCACAACCTTTCTAATTGGAAACGTTCATGCAGGGCCGTCTCAAGCCATGCGGGGGCTCTGGGACCTTGGGGCCCCCAAAAAAATCGACGACGACAGGCATACTTCTAATAAAACATATTTATTGAATTACAAATTCCCTTACAACAATATTATTGGCTTTTACCGTGATTTCATTTGGGCAAAATCTTCAATGGTGTCGTCAAACTGCAGTTGCTGCAAAACGTCACTGTCGATAGACATATGGGACAAACTGGTGAGGCGTTCTTGTGACATGGACGTTCTTGATTCATTTTTTGTTCTATTCAAATTTGAAAAAGACCGCTCTCCGCTGCAGTTAGTGACCATTAGACACAGGCAAATTCTTTTATGAATAAAGGTTGAAGTAGTCTATGTGATGGCTAGATGCCACAACCTGTAGCTTCGGTAACATTTTGATTATCATAGACAGAATTTGAATCTAACGCATTGCATATAAGCATTTGGCTTTTGGGGGCCCCCCATCATGACGGGGCCCTGGGCTCAACGAAAATTTGTGCTATTAGAATAATCAACTATCAAAGAATAATGTATTGTTAATTGACTAGATTGGGTGATACCTAACACAGCTGTTGGCGAGACTGTTAAGCATGATAAGGAACCAGATCTAGGTTTCTATAGCTATTTGAAGTATTTACTATCTATGTAGCCCTGCTTTAAGTAAGGGTTGAGACGACCATGCTTAGAAATATAGATCAACAACAATCCGTTTCTTCGGTTTCTGATTTGAGTGTGGTTATTTGATCGTAAACCACTTATGTTAAGCCACTGGGATTTCCAGATAGATTTGTCAAGGTCAGTACAGCTAGCATGATAGTAGTAGCATCAGTAGAGTTTTTCAGTTCTTCTTTGTCCACTATAAGCGTTTTTCATGAAACTAACTGTATTCTACCTTAGATGGTTTAAAAAACGGTCTACTAACAAAAATATGAATTATATCTGTTTTGAGAATCGGCTCATTTATGGGAGAGTAATGGTGAAATCATTAACAACAAGTGTTTCCTCTATTATGGAAAGGATCACTTGGACTGAGCGGAACATTTGACATGAAGTTACAACCATGAATTAGATGAAAAAAGCATTGCACCTTTTGAAATTATATATTAGCGAGCGATACGTATTTCTGCTGGTTGGCATCATCAGGCCCGAAATGAATGCACATATGCAACTACAAAAGTAGATACACATCCGGATACGGGTGTAACCTGAGGAAACGAAGTTGGAGGGGAAAAAACGACACACGAAGTCCACAACAAGAGCCAACCTACACATTGTAGTATGATCATATTCTCTATATTATATATATATATATATATATAATATTATTATTATTATATATGCCCGCTGATGGACCCTGGTCTTTTTCGAAATCTAGGTTCTTCCAGTCGTCATCAAAGTAAAGTTTCTGACACTTTTAAAATGTAGCTTGACTATTAATTCAGTTACTTTGGCAGTAGTAAATCTGGGATTCTGTTTTTTTAAGTTTAACGAGCCACATAATTGAAAATCACTATTTTCTATCGTCATCATTTAATATGTACTTTTTCATTGTCGCTGGATTGGACTATATTTTTAATATGTTTAAAGTAGTACCTTGCATACGACCTGACAGGACAATTTAAACCCTTTCGGTACCGCTGACGGCAAGTTCCGACAGGAAGAAACTTGTCCCTAGGTCCAGTGTCGGCTGTCGATCATTTACGACACCTTTAAAAATTAAAACTTCTCACAGGGACCAGTGTCTGCTAATCCGCTCAGCACTGAATTCCCCACAGACCAATGGCTTGAGAATCCGACACTGTCGAACATGGGCGACGGTGGACGCTCGGGGGAGTTCGGCGTCGAACACGTGGACCAGGCAAATCTACTTATTATGACTGGTTTGAAACAGTTTCGCGTTGTTATTGGGACATTGTAGACATAGTTAGTTTGTGTTTGACTCTTGTGTTGTTCTGTTCATTGTGCGAGATGGATAACGCTGAACCCAGTACATCTGACGGCCGAAAAGGACGAAATAAGCATAAAAGGGATAATGCAGGTGCGTGCTATTGTGGGCTGACCCGGAGAAGTCCGAAATCTTTCACAATATCTTATGAGCCCCGATGAGGATGAGCCCGAAGATCCCTTTGCTGACAGTGGAAGCGAGTTTATTCCCAGCTCGGAAGGTGAATCTTCAGAGTACGATTTCTTGCAAGTGTCTGAAGGTGAAGACAACAAGCATGATTCATCTCAAACGCCGGTCTTGGAACCTGAGACAGCAATGGACGAGAGAATGGATATTATTAGAGAACGTACGAGGTTAGAAATAAAATGGACGGATAAAGAGTTTATTCCGCAAGTTTTTGCATTTGATAGTACTAATAGCGGATTAAGAAATGTTAGTTTAAATGATCAAAGCAGTGAAGTAGATTTCTTTTTGAGTCTTTTATCTGAAAATATTATGAACGTCATTGCCATCCAAACAAATAGGTATGCCATTCAAAGAGATGCACCTAAGTGGAAAAGCATTGACATTCCAGAACTTTACGTATTTTTCGCTGTAACTCTGCTTATGACACGTGTAAAGAAACTGAATATTAAAGAGTACTGGACCCAAGATATCTTACTCAGCACTCCCGTTTTTGGACAGACTATGTCAAGAAACAGATATTGCGAGATACA